ATTAGATCGAAGATAATTTTGCAAATGCATTCATAATTCCATTTCTTTAAATCAGTTAAGCATTCCCACAAGTTTTTTTAATATAAAATAAACTTAGCATTGATGGCTAATTTTAGACTGAAGTAAATGAAGGTTTAATAATTCATGGAAGAATTTTATCACGCGAAACTAATGAACCAATTGGCAAACTAAAATTGGCACTGATTTATGGACAATTACGATTAACAGTTGCTAATCTTGCTGAAATCAGTTTTGATAATATCACTATCGATAGTAATAAGTAAGTTACCAGCTTTTGGCTATGTTGCGGTCTACATTTATTCCATAATTTTTCAACTTCTAAGATGACCCTTGAAATGGGGGTCAAATTTTTAAGATATACGAATGCAAAATAATTATTATTGATAGCAATTACAATGAACTAAACATTTCAAATTATGTGATAGCAGCAAACTGAATGAAACGTAAACCGAAATTTGAATTTGACCGGAAATTTTGGAATTGTTTCTACCAAAATTACGGGCTGCAAATAATCAAAATTGAAATTAAACAACTTGAATTTGCCACCAAATTGTCGTCATAATAATCGTCAAATAATATTCGAAAATTATTTCCTTTTAATTAAATTCCAATTTTTCATCCTATCCACTTTTGTATTACATTTCATCAGATTCAATCAAATTTTATTGGAATTTGAATATAATGCAAATATGGTTCGTATGATCTTTAATGGTTATGCAAAATCAGCGAGTCTGAATGTAGACGATAAGGATTACCATATCAGGTAAAATTTTATTAAGTACTCTAAATGATCGATTTGATCTTTTTTTATCTGTTGCTGAAATTTTAATAAATTTGACGGAATTTTATCGATTAAAATAACTTTTGTGAATGTTTGCTCATTTTAACAAAAATTTCAAATTAATTTTATGCCTTAATAGATTTGATAACGAATTATTCTTTTGTGCTGGAGATATTGAAGTTGGTCTGTCCGGATGCTTACGTGGAATCTACGTTGATTATTTTGATGTAATCGATGGTTATGATAAACATTCATCGAAGGTATTATTAATTCAATTTTTGATATTGTAAATGTGGTAATGTTGAGTAAAATATTAATTTACTACATTCTAGGTAAATGCAAATGCGGAATTGAAAAGTTGTGACAGAAACGTTTTAATTACCGTAACAGCTCCGGATACTGAAATTTTGCCAGTGCTAAATACCGGTGAGATATTATTGGATGGAACTACAGAGGAGCAAATAGATGGATATAATACTGGATTAGGATATGAATTTGGACTTGATCAGGAACATGATCAAGTAAATAGTGAAATGGAACATCATTATCACAATCAGATGAGGCCAGAAGTAATCTTTTCTAAAAGATATTTTAAAATTTGATAAGGTGAATGATATCTTAATCAGTAAAACTGGTGATGATTCTAAATCATTTTAATTATACGTTATTGCAGGTATACGAATTATTTTTGGGCACATAATGCATCAAATTTTAAAATATTGTCAAACATTTTTACAAGTTAAATGGAAAAAGAAAAGTGTTTTTAAATATGAATTTTAGTTACTGCATTAAAAAATTATAAATGAAAAAAAAAACAAATTTTCTGTTCACAAATCTTAATCAGCAAAGCAAACTTGAATGATTTTTAAGCTTTAAAAAATTCAAATTCTGATATAATTTTTGAGATTGATGATGACAAAACTGTTGCATTCAAGGAAGCTATTCGATGGAAAGCTATTATAGGTTTGCAAATTTTTTTTTCCATCAGCTAAATTTATAATTATTGTTGCAGACTTTTTTTGCTGATTTTTTGTTTACTTTGAATGTTAGCTTGATGTCTAACCTTTAAGCTATTCAGAGTTAAATATGAAAATGTGAAAAAAATTGTTTTCATTTCATGCATTAATTCTGTCAACCATTGAAAAGTAATGATTTATTATTTTCCTTTTGTTTTTCTTAAAACTTAAATTTTTAAAATTATCATGGCGTTATTCGTACTGCCTTCTAAATGTTAACTTTTCCCTCATTTATCTAAAAGTGGAAGTGAATGTGAAAATAAAATTGAAAGGGAAATCATTTTAATATTCCGGCGATTCTGTCTAGAATTATTATATTCAATTATTTTAGAGTACAATAAATATCTTTTTAAACTTATTTGAATTTATATTTACTATGCAAATAAACGTTCTCCTTAAGTTAACTTAATTTTTTATTTTTCTATTAAAAATTATGATCCAAGGATAATAAAATGATGGAAAAATTTCTAAAACAATCAAATTATCTCTTAAAAAATTTGCATTAATACTATTAACTTAAATTTTGTGCAACAACAATCTTGCAACAAATAATTCGAATTTGATAAAATTTCAAAAAAAAAAAAACATTAAAAAATTTAAAAAAAAATCAGAAAATGCAGAAAAAGAAAATTTTTCTTTTTCAGAAACACCGATGAAGCAATTTTGTGAAAATAGCGAGACAACAAATTGCAAAAATTCAATTGAATGTATAAAAAAAGATGACTTACCTGTTTGTGTATGTCGAAAGGGATTTGTGGGATCATCCTGTCAATTTTGTAAGTTTGCAATAATCTTCTAAGTTTAAATAAACGTTTATTATTGAGTTAAAATTTAAATATGAAAAAAATCTAACTCATTTAAAATGAAATGTAAAAAGAAAATTCATCTTCTTTTAAAGCACTTTTACCGTGGAATTGCGATGAAATATTCCGTGATGGTAATACCGTATCAGGAACGTACATTATTGATCCCGATGGTTCCGGTCCACTACCGGAAACATATGCTTATTGTGAAAATGGCAAAACAATCATTGCACACAATATGCCTGATAATACGATAATTAATAGCAAAGGATTAGGTGATATTCATATGATAGTTAATTATAAGTAAGTTTTAAAGAATGCTTTTTCTTACATTTAGTAAATTTGATTAAATTAATTAAAATTTTCAAATTTTTATAAATTTAATACTATTGAAGATTTTTCAACGATGAATTGCTGCAAAGTTTGAAGAGAAATTCTGAATCCTGCTCACAAATAGTACAGTATAGTTGCCATACGGCACCACTTAGGTAAACTTTACTGTTTTTTTTTTTTGCATTGGTATATGATTTTTAATTTTATTATAAAATTTTTTACATTCTTATAAATAGCGTATTAATTCCGAAATGACAAATAAAATGAGTAGCAGTAATAGGTCATTAGAATGGTGGGTAAGGTACCCAAAAAAGCTAAACATCCAATCTATGCAAAATCTCTTATCATTCTAATGCTAAAGCATTCCACCTATTTCATCCGATCAGAATTCCAACGTGGATTTTACGGATACCAACATAAGGCTATCCTATTGTTATACTGTAGAAGAGTTTAGAGTTGAGGATATGAGACCTGTTTATTTTGCTTTACAGATTTGATAGAATGAAAATATGGTTCAAATCGATCTCAAATGAATTCTTCCGAGGATTTGGCGGAGTTGACGGGACATGTCCGTGTCAAAATGATAAATGTACAAGTGAGAATTTATCTTTACAATGATTGAATTAAAAAAATAAAAATCTCATATTGTTTCTAAAAAGGACAAAAATTTTCTTTTTATATTCAATTTTTCAATCATATACGATGATCATTTAATGTGGCTGTTAATATTCTTAAAAGGCCGTAATTGATGTCTACGACATCTTAAATCTTTTAATTTATCACCTTAAAGTGGTCATATACTTTTTTTTTTTGCTGTCGATTATTATCAAATAATATTCTAATTAATGTATGATTAGATAAGTAATGTTCACTCTTTGTTGTAATGTAATAATAAGATGTGAGAAATTTTTACATCATAAACGTTGTACAATTACAGTTTAGTTGACATATTTTCAAAAAAAAATGAAATAAAATTAAACAATTATTGAAAGTTTTATTTTTATTGTTGTAGGATGTAATTGCGATAACGATGATGTCGCAAGTGATTACGGTACAATGACAGATAGTGAAGTGCCAATTCGAGGCATTTATCGATTAAATGATCTATCAGTTGATAAAGGTTACATGACACTTGGACCACTGATTTGTGTCGGAAGTGGTATGCGTTAGCTTATTATTAATTAACTTTGATCTACAAATTTTTTGAGATCTTTTAACAGTTCTTTAGAAAGACTTTAATGAAGAATATAGAAATTTATTGAAGCATTAATTTCAGATTTACAGTTTTAGTTTATTACTATAGCAGCATTTGAAATTTTTTGACCCGATCTTGTTCGATTTCAATTTATATACTACTTAAAATT